TCAGGAAATAAATCAAGGAGTTTCTTAGATCTTCAGTAAAATAGTGAGCTCCCTGAGGCAGGTAGTCTGTCTTGTCATTCTGTGTCCTCATCTCCTAACAGAATGCCGGGCACAGAGAGAAGACACTTAATAGCTATTTAATGAATTAATGCATGAAAGAAATGGATGAATGCCCCAAACTGAGATTTCACATTTTGATATTGTCTGTTTTAGTCTAGCTTCTGACTCAATTTGGCATTGCATCTGTATTCACATACAATCCTTTCAAAATAGAAGAAAATGAAAAGCATAATAAAACTATTTGTAAGGTCTTTTATAATTCCAAGAACCAAGAAAAGAACAGATTAGAAAAATTGGCAAGAGCACGCTTATGTATTTATATGTTTGTGAAAGGATAGTGTATTCTAGTGTTAAAATTTTTATTCCTTGTTGTATACCTTGTGCTTGTAATTTGGAGGCTAATGCATGTGCAAGTTCTTGGAAAAGAGCTCTTAGAGTCTTTAGATGGTCAGGAAATAAGTCGCTTTCTTTGTCTTTAATGAGAGAGATCTTCTTAACGGTGCAAAATACAGTTATTTAAAGAGAAAAATAAGTACATCAAATCATGGTTGTTATAATTTTTTAAATCCCTAATTGCTTTCTAAATCAAAGGTAGGACTATTTATTTTAATGGAAAGCTCTTGGAAAAATCTTAGGAGTTAATAATCAAGTTAATGTAGCAATTCTAAAACTCATTGATTGATTTGCATTCTATTTTAATAAGTTTTACTATATGCATAATGTACAAGTGAGGGGTATTATAATCTTGGCAGTCACTTGCCTTGTGTAGGAATCACAAAATGGGAAATGTCATTCACATGTAACAAATGATTTTTATTAAAAAATGCCGAGTGTCATGAGACTGCCTCTATTTCAGGGAAAGGTTTTGCTACATGAAGAAACAAATCTTTCTATCTGAATCAATCTTTGAAACAATGACAAAATTAAAATTGTATCTATTATCTGCCTGAATACACCTGATTTAATGAGTTTTTTCTAAATAATAAATTCTTTATTATTAGAATTATAAGAAAACAAGTAACTGAGGTTTTGAATATGTTATATGAACATATGTAACATTTATAACTCTTGGGTGACAGATCAATTATTTACTGCATTTCCACATTCTTTACATAATCCGGGCTTCTAATGAAGTGAAAATGAACTTTCTGTGCTTGACATTTGGATGAACATTTGGTGGGGGAAATCATACCTATCCCTTAAGCCTCTCTCATGCATATTTACAAACAGGTGCTCTGTAGATGTACTTCCAAGGAATTTGCTCTCACACTTGCCTGCTGTGCATGGAATTGGGACATGGTTGGGTTTGCAAGATGAAACAAATGAATGCCAAGGTGTTAGTTAATGTCCTTCTATGGCTTCCCAACTCCCTCCCCCACCCCCACCACCAATTTGAGTTAAAGTTCAACCATTCGGGTTTTGAGTGCAGCACAGTGAGACTATGATTGATACCACTGGACACAGAAACTGTGCTTTGCTACTGGGTCAGGCAGCCAGGCAAGAGGAAACAGTGCCAACCCCATTATAAAATCCCTGCCTGTTAGGACAGCACTGGGAGCTGTCAACATAATGTAGCAGAGAAGGCAGATTTTTGTGTTGTTTACTTTTTGTGGAATCAGGATGCCTTGAATCAAAGATAGCTTATTGGATCTTCTACTAAGAACCTTTCTTTATTAAGAGAACCTTGTCTAAATGTCTCCCAGTAGAGTCCTGTATAGGGTAACTCATTTGACCTTTAAAGACCATCTCTACTGGTTGGCTGGTTTTTATAACTCCTCTAAGGAGGATTTAGTCTATTTGTTGTAGTATATTGCCAGTAAACATTTATTATTTCAGAGGATCTAGTGGATCTGTCCTACTTAAGTGTCCTTGTAAATACTCACAACCCATCACTCCAGCTCTTAGTTGAGACTTGGAGTTGATAAGGCCACAAGTATTATTGCTTCCTGTCAGTCTGAGTATATGTGTCCACTGTGGGAGTCGTGTGGTTAGATCAGTGAGCCAACCATGAGTCGTAATAGCTTAGGAAATATTTATCAGAGCACTTTTCTCCTCTGGCTTCTGCAGTACTAGGCAGGCTTTCTGAGGGAGTGGAAAAAACCATTCTGTGTTGAGGGCCCTATAGACTGTGGCCACCTGTAGGAAGATCTCTGCGTGCAACACAAGGCCAAAATTATGGACAACTGCATAGCTCACCAGAGCGATCATTTGATTTGCTGACATAAAGCTGTGTTTATACATTCTGGCTAAGATAACCCAATTGTCAGTAATACCAGTAACAGTAGAAAAATCAAGTGTTCCTAGAAAGATGTTACTCTTTTATTTTTTTTTTAATCTAAAGATTAGCATTCGATGAAGCTGTTGTAATCCTTAAGAGCAGCATCTTACTGTCTCTCTCCCATCTCACCTCTGACTTCTGCAGTTGCAGGAACCACCACCAGTGCATCCACCCTAGAGCCTTGCTAGTCAGGGACTTGGTAGCACTTCAGAAATATCCGCTGCATGAATGTTAAGTAAGAATTCTCTGCCATTGGGACATCTCTCGGAACAATAGACAGCACTTTCTGTGTGACTGGTGGGCCGAACACTTTTGCCTTAGAAGTTCAGTAGGAGAATCAGCACGGTATATTCTTTCTCAGTTCCTGTGAATCACCTGAAATTTGCGTCTTTCATTGTTCTCTGTTTCTTTTCCATTCCTCGGGATTTGTGAGGGTCCCACTCTGAGTCCAGCATCTATGTGGGTTTGTGTGTCACTAGTATTCTCCAGGCTCTGTTCTTCTTCTGGGGGCTTCTGTACACACCTACCTGTCTTTTGGACAACTTGACCACTCTGTGTTGATCATTGCTGGATTATTCATCTGTCTTCCTCTTAGACTGTCCGCCCCATGAGGCAGGGGTCTGGCTTTCTTCTCTATCCCAGGGAACTAACAGTGTGTTTGACCCACCTTGGGCTTGTGTGGATGTTTACAGGTTGAATAAGTGAATGAATTAATTAAAGAAATGAATAAAGAAAATGAATGCACCTGTAGTTAGATCATCTTTTTTCAAAAAACCTCTTAATCGCATATATTTAAGGTAAATATGATGTTGTAGGTTATATATAGATACTACAGTGAAGCCAATTCACATATCCATCATCTCATAGTTACTCAATCTTTTTTTGTGTGTATGGCAAGAGCAGCTAAATTTTACTCATTTAGCATGAATCCCATGCACGGTAATACAATATGGTTTTATTACCTGTAGTCCTCATCTTGCACCTTGGATCTCTAGGTTTGTTTGTGTAGTTAGTAGATCATTGCTAGGTACATGTTTTCAGATGGTGGCTGGAAGTGTGAGAGCCTCTGGCACAGGGTACAGGCTGTGGTCATTAGCACGTCACTAAGACCTGTCATTTGGTCCTGACCACTCTTGATGTGGTGTCTCACCGGAGGAGCTCAAAAATAAATTAACAGACGAGGTTTAGAGAGGTGTAGCACTACAAGTGAGTAGTATACCAGTTGTATAAATTACCAAACACCTACAGGCACAGGGTTTTAAATAGATTAGGTCCGCCCTGGTAGTTCAGTCAAAAATTTGAAAGGCCTTTAAAATACAGTCTGTGCTTGTGGCTTCGTGGCCTCGTGGCTGCAGGATTGCTCTCTGTGGTGTCGCTGTGGGGTGAGAGGCACGAGGGTAAATGAAAAGCTCAGGGGTTTAAATAAGAAGAGGGTTAAATAACACGCAAAACAAAATAGTTTTGGAGTACATAATTGTATGATTTTAAAGCAAAGAGTGATTTTACATTTTATTATAAATAAAAGTTATACACATGGTATCAAATGAAAATAGTACCAAGAATATAATGTAGTATTTCTGGTTCTCCCCATATGATCTGGGTGCTTTACTTATACCTCAATTCTGTGATATAAATCACCTTTAAATGCTGTTGATTGGACTGTCGCCTACTATGTAAAATGATGATAAATTTATCTCACTTATACTTCTCTCTCTTTTCCTGCCAATATTTTATAATAACATCATTCTTTTCAGTTATTCTATCGGCCAGTGCTGTAATCTTCAGTGATTTCCTTGCATTTCCCTTTCTTTTGGATTCCGGAATTTCTGGTGCAGGTGGAAGGTGTCGGTGCCTTTACCATACTTTCTCCCTCCTTCAGATCTTACTTTTGCCAGTTTCTCTTTTACTTTTTTCCCACCATGGAAGTATATGAGAAGTTACACTCTGTCCTGCAGGGAGGGGTTTTTAAAGGTTATTTTAAGGAGGAAATTTAAAACTGAAGACATTAAATGACTTGTGTAAAGTCTCTTAGCTGTTTAATATTAAAGCTTGGACTATATAAGTCAGGGCATTTGACTCCTAATCTAGTGGGTTCTCTGTAGATAAACTCATTGCTTTATTCATGAAATGTTTATTAAATGCTTATTCTCCACCATGCACTAAATAGGTACCAATGATACAAAAATAAGAAATGGTCTTGAATCTCATACTTCATAGTCAAGTAAGAAAGACAAATGTGTAAACAAATCTGGATTTCAATGTAATAATGTACAAAGGAAGGTGTTACCTAATTATTTTTTTAATCCCACAGGTCAGAGATTAGATAACTTTATGTAACTATTAGAAGTGACAACTTTAATATGTTGAGGACACACTTATGCATGTTTAAAAAATAAATAAGACTTTCCTGATATATTTTCAGGGAGGTAATTTAAAAAGTCTATTTCATGATCAAGTATGAAAGCAAATTTTTAAAATAAATTTATAATTATAAATTATATATGTTTTATGTGTGCAACATGTTTTTATGTGAAAAAATAACAGAATATTCTTCACTTTCCAATATAGGATTGTTTAGTATTTTGACTTTAAGTCTAAGGTTCATGCATTTATTGTAGATTCTTTTTATGGTGACTTTCTCCTTTCTTTCTCCCTTCCTCAGATTTTCATCACCGTGAATTGCCTGAGTACAGATTTCTCCTCCCAAAAGGGGGTGAAAGGACTTCCCTTGATGATTCAGATTGATACATACAGTTATAATAATCGTAGCAATAAACCCATTCATAGAGCATATTGCCAGATCAAGGTCTTCTGTGACAAAGTGAGTAAAGATGACAGTGTCATAAAGGTATCTTTGCTATTAGATATTACTTTTGATGGCATTTCCCTCTTGTCACCTTTCCTTGTCTAGTAGTGTCAAAATAATCACTTTATCAGTCACAGTAGGTGTGGTAATCTTTTACTCTCTTCCTGTTAGATATCTAGAGAATCATCAGTCAACTGTATTTTTTTTTAGTTAATCATTTTTACTGCTTATTTAATGGCCAATTGACATTGCACAGTGTCTTAATCAGACCAACCTGCTGTAACAAAATACTACAGACTGGGTGGCTTAAACAACAGAAATCACAGTTCTAGAGGCTGGGAAGTCCAAGATCAAGGTGCCAGCCAGCTTGGTTTCTAGTGAGGCCTCTCTTTCTGGCATGCAGACTCACTGTATCCTCATGTGGCAGAGAGAGAGAGAGAGAGAGAGAGAGAGAGAGAGAGAGAGAGAGAGAGAGAGAGAGAGAGAGAGAGAGAGAGAGAGAACAAAAAACTTTCTGGTGTTTCTTCTAAGGGCACTAACTCTATCATAAAGACCCTATGCTCACAACCTCATCTAAACCTAATTAGCTCTCCAAAATCCCACCTCCAGGTGCTATTACATTGGGGGTTAGGGCTTCAACATATGAATGGGGGGGGGCTGAACATCAGTCCATAATACACTGTGCTTTAAGTCTGATTCAGTTAGAGAGCTCCTATAACAGATTAATAATCTTTACTGGATATAGATGCTGTCCTAGAACACATCAATTGCAGTAGGTGACATTTCCAATAGCTCCTATTTTTTAATATCACTCTAAATATCAGTGCTAGGCAGAAAAAAATGGTTGGAGAATGTGGGGTACATGATTGGCATTTATTCCAAGTATTAATAACTAGTGTTATAAAGAGTTCCTAGTGGGTAGTTAGTTGCACATCCTGATGTTAAGAGCCAGGGTTTAGGGTGTCAGGAAACTCATAAGGAGGAAATTTCAGATTCTATGCAGGGTGGATTAACTGTTATTACAGTCAGTTTCTCTAATAAGCTAGATACAAAATCTTTTGCTCTAATTTGTCATCATATTTGCAGCTCTAATTTCAAAACCTAGTCAAAACTCACACCTGGAAGATTAGAAGAGAAATAAAAGTTTAATTTTTGTACTTTTCAAGTGGGTATGTAAATGCAAATGCTTAATTTAAATTATCTTTTAAAGCAAAAGAGTCAAGAGCTATTCCATTTTGAAGCTGTGAATTTCCTAATCACAGTCTAGAGTTTTAAACAGATGAAATTCTGCACTATCTATAACTCTCCAGCTTGATTTCTAATAAATACACCTGTGAGATTGATTGCAGATAAAAATAAAGGCCTTCTCTAACTTTTCTGGTATTATGATACTTCTACTGAAATGAACATGTTTATGCATTAAAAGGATCTATTTATATATCTATCTATATAGACATCTATGTGTATATCTTTGTATCTATATTTAATTAGTTCCATAATCTTCCATGAAGATTTTGTATTATTACAAACAATAGCTATATATTGCAGAAAAGTTGAGAAATAGAGCCACATTTTAAAAACATATTTAAGAGAAACTAAGCGTCAAATAAAAAAATGAAGATAGACATCACCTCTCAAGTGGTGACAAAAGTGATCACAATGTAGTTAAGAACTCTTCAGATAAGTTTTCCAGATTTAACACTCTGTAGGAACATTTAAGTGGGGGGAAATCATTTTCAAAAGATACATTTGGCATTTGTAGCAAATTATACTCTTGGAACAACTAGACTTTTTTGCACTTTAATAAGAATAGAAAGAATATTTTCTAGAAGGTCACAAATAAACATAGGAAAGAAGAAAGAAATTTTTGGAAAGTCTTGTTCAAGGGAAGCTTTCTCCATCTTAATTGAATGTATCAAAGCTTTCTTGGGTTATTGTGAAGCCCCAAACTTTATTTTAGAAATAAGAACTGTGGTTCTTTCAAGAGCAGATGCTGTCAGAATTGTTTTGTCACACTGATACCTGGGCATTTTGGGCAGGAAACTTGGACAGAAGTGGCACCAAGACCACACGTTATAGAGACCTACTCTATTTTATGCTAATCCTTTAGGTTTGTCATGTCAAAGAATGCCTGAAAAATAAGCAAGTGACTTTCCTAACAATCCACTTGAACATACAGACATACTTATTTTATTGCACTTTGCTTTATTGCATTTTGCAGATAATGTGTTTTTTACAAATTGAAGGTTTGTGGCAACCTGGTGTTTAGCAAGTCTATGGGTGCCATTTTTTCCAATAGCCTGTGCTCACTTCATGTCACGTTTTGATAATTATCACAATATTTCAAGCTTTTTCATTAATATTGTATCTGTTATGGTTATCTGTGATCAGTAATCTTTGATGTCACTATTGTAGTTATTTTGGGGACCCAGCAACCATGCTCCTGGCCCTTCCCCTATCTCTCACTCTGTCCCTCTCAGGCCTCCCCCATCCTCTGATAAACAGCAAAATTAAAATTAGGCCATTTAATAACCCTGCAATGACCTATAAGTGTTCAAGCAAAAATGAAGATTTGCATATCTTTCACTTTACATCAAAAGCTAGAAAGAATTAAGCTTAGTGAAGAAGGCATGTTAAACCTAAGACTGGCCAAAAAGCTAGGCCTCTTTCACCACACAGCCAAGCTGTGAATGCAAAGAAAAAGTTCTTGAAGGAAATCAAATGTGCTACTCCAGTGAACACATGAATGATAAGAAAGCCAAACAGCCTTATTGCTGATATGGAAAAGTTTTAGAGGTCTAGATAGAAGATCAGACCCTCCACAACATTCTCTTAAGCCAAAGGCTAATCCAGTGCAAGGCACTAACTCTCTTCAATTCTATGAAGGCTGAGGGAGATGAGGTTGCAGAAGAGCTTGAAGCCTACAGAGATTGGTTCATGAGGTTTAAGGAAAGAATCTATCTCCATAACATAAAAGTGTAAAGTGAAGCAGCAAGTGCTGATGTAGAAGCTGCTACAAGTTCTCCAGATGGTCTAGCTAAGATAACTGATGAAAGTGGCTGCACTAAACAACAGATTTTTTTTGAATTTTTAAAATTATTTTAAAATTTACTTCATGACCCTCTCTAACATGGTACTAAATAACAGATTTTTAATGTATGTGAACAACCTTATATTGCAAGAAAATGCCATTTAGGACATTAATTACTAGGGAAGGTAAGTAAATGCCTGGCTTGAAGGCTTCAAAGGACAGGCTGACTCTCTTGTTAGGGGCTAAAGTAGCTGGTGACCGTAAGTTGAAGCCAGTGCTCATTTACCATTCCTAAAGTCCAAGGGCCCAAGAATTATGCTATGTCTACTCTGCTTGTTCTCTACAAAGGGAACAACTAAGCCTAGATGACATCACATCTGTTTATAGCATAGTTTATGGAATATTGTAAGCCCACTGTTGAGACTTACTGTTCAGAAAAAAAAGATTCTTTTAAAAATACTACTGCTTACTGACAATAAACCCAGTTACCCAAGAGCTCTGGTGGATATGTACAAGGAGATTAATGTTGTTTTCATGCTTGCAAACACAGCATCCATCTGTAGGCCATAAATCAAGGAGTACTTTTGACTTTCAAGTCTTATTATTTAAGAAGTACATTTTGTACAGCTATAGTTGCTGTAGATAATGATTCCTCTGATGGATCTGAGCAAAGTAAATTGAAAACTTTCTGCAAAGGACTCACTAGTTGCCATTAAGAACATTTGTGAGTCATGAAAGGAGGTCATAATATTAAAACTAACAGTAGTTTGGAAGAAGTTGATTCCAACCCTCCTGCATGACATTGAGGGGTTCAAGACTTCAGTGGGAAAGTACCTTGCAGATATGGTGGAAATAGCAAAAGAACTAGAAATAGAAGTGGACCCTGAAGATGTGAATGAATTGCTGCAATCTCATGATCAAACTTGAACAGATGAGTTACTTCTTATAGATGGGCAAAGAAACTAGTTTCTGGAGGTAGAATCTACTCCTGGGGAAGATGCTGTGAACATTGTTGATATGACACAAGGGATTTGGAATATTACATAAACTTAGTTGATAAAGCAGAGACAGGGTTTGAAAGGATTGACTCCAATTTTGAAAGAAGTTTTACTGTGGGTAACATGCTACCAAATAGTGCTGCATGCTACAGAGAAATCTTTCATGATAGAAACAGTCAATTGATGCAGAAAACTTCATTGTTGCCTTATTTTAAGAAATTGCCACAGTCACCCCAACTTTCGGCAACCACACCACCCTGATTTGTCAGCAGCCATCAACATTGAGGCAAGATCCCTACCATCACAAAAATTGTGACTTGCTCAAGGCTCAGATGATTGTTAGCATTTTTTAGCACTAAACTATTTCCTAACTAAAGTATTTACATTTTTAGCGCTATTCATGCTATTGCATACTTAATATATGACAGTATAGTATAAATATATAGTATAGTATATGCCTTATACATAAGTATTCAATAAAAAATATAGTTCCCATTATTATACAAACTTCAGTATTTTTGATGAGCCTTTTCTTATATTTCACATCTATTTGAACAAGGTGATGTCTGTGCGTTTAACATCTTATATGTTTTCTAGACACAAAACTATACAAATCCTTAATATACCTTGAAGAGACTTCCAAAGCAGATATTTTTATATTTTATCTCCCTATTTCTATGATCTTTAAGTGTCAATGACAATTCAAAACCTCAAGTGAAGCACTATAAAGTAATTACTCCCTTTGATATTACTAGTAAGTAAAATAATTACTTCCTTTGGAAGTTTTTTGATATAGATATGTATATTAAATTATCTGGTTAAAATATTACAACTATCAAATTCTAATATGTAAAGCTCTTAGAAATCACCTGGCACAGAGTAAGTGCCCTGTAAGTATTAGCTGTTATTACTTATTCTTCCAGAATTAGCTTAAAAGCCATCTCCTGTATAATACTTTCATTGACCACAAACCCTCACCATAGCCAGGATTGGGAATCTGCTGTATCCAAAAAGCCAATTTGATAAGCAAAAAAATACATCTCATTGTTATTATTTAAACCACTTGTGTATCTTTTTCTGTAAATTGCTTATTTCATGACCCATGTCCATTTTTCTATGTCAGTTGTTTTTTAGTTTAAATCATTACTGCTATATTAAAGATTTAACATTTTATGTGATATTTTGTTTCACATATTTTCAGCAATTTGTCCTTTGCCTTTTAATTGATTATTTTGTTTTTGTATAGAGAAGGATTAAATTATCATATTGTTAAATCTATCTCTGGTACATATGTTGATTTGGGGGCAATTTCCAAAGTATTAGAGGTTACTGGCCAATCTGCACCTCACTGCTCTTTTAATATGCTACTATAGTGGGCAAGAGTTCAGGTTGGGTGTATTGATCTGAGTGTCACCTGTCTACTGCGGTTGTGAAAACATGGTACAGATGGATTCTCCTGCAGCAAGAATGGAGAGAGAGAAAGGAAAAGGAAACTGTGTTGGAATGTCTTTATTTGGAAGATGAGAAGAGGAAAATGAGTTAGCAAAGCTGACATAGAAGAATGCTCAAAGAAAAATATTAATACAATTAGGGAATCATTGCAGGTCACGAAGAAAAGTGCTATAAGTTTGTGGTCAATTGGTTAAGTGCAACAGAATTTGACAGTTTGACAGGAGGAGCCAATAAAAATGTCAAATTACAAGGAACAGAGGAGCAAAACGGAGTTGAATACACTAAACTTTTTAATGAGCAACATCTCTAAGAACATACAAAACATAAACAAAACATACTGAACAAAACACAAATAAAACATACAAAACATATTGAAACAAAAACAAAAATCATACTTGTTTGCACAAAGCAATCCTACATCTTGTGTTGTTTCCTTATGCACTTCCTTATTTCCACCATTGTAATGATTTTTTAAAGTTCCATAACAACAAGCAAAGGGAAAATTTTACGGAGAATTCGCACTCAACTTTAAAGCCCTCTTCATGCCTAGGAATAAATTTAATGGGTCAATGCTTCATCTTCTGACATTTTATTATAATCAGTAAAGTTACTTAATGGGCTTCACTGGATTAGGGAACTGGGCCTGTTCTTTCCATATGGATCCAAAACTGAAGTTCTTTAAATAGGCAAGATACCAAAAAAGGAGAAAACATGGCAGAGGTGAGATCTCTGGCAGGTCAGAAATGTGGCCTTGCCAGAGGGATGAAAATGGGGCTGCCTGGTCTCCTCATCTCCTGTGTTGTTTCATACCTGCATGACTTGTGTGTGACAGTATTTCTGCATGCCTTGATAATATGCCTGGCATTGTCTGTATTTGCTTTTTCCCTGGCAGGGAGCAGAAAGAAAAATCAGAGATGAAGAGAGGAAGCAGAACAGGAAGAAAGGGAAAGGCCAGGCCTCCCAAACCCAATGCAATAACTGTGAGTTTCATGAAGACTGACTTTGTTTTCCGAGGGGAAGACTCAGATGGGCTGTGTCCACTGGGGGAACAGGTGGAAAGAAATGGGTTGCAGGTAAAACCGTATATACAAGGCATGGCTTGCTTTCCCCTGGCAGTGGAGACAGAGTGATTATCCCCGTGAAAAGCAAATAGAATCATGTGCATAGTGTGTTTGAGCTAGGAAGGACTTTGTAATATTATGGAGACCAACAACCTCCTCCTACAGGCAAGGTATCTTGGCTGCACAGAGGGAGGGGACCTAAGCTCTACTCAAGAAGGTCACTTGAAGTCCATGCTCTTTCTGTTGGTTTGGCTGGTGGGGGGAGGTGTTAAAATGTGTTCACACCTACGGCATTCAGAAAGCTTCCTAGGAGAAAAACATGGATTTTAGTTGACACTAGGACTTATAGTTGAGAGTTCTTAGTCATGTGTAACCCTCTTGTTTATGGGTTTTGTGATTCCGTCCAGCCTCTGATGGGAAGTTGGCTGCCATACCCTTACAGAAGAAGAGCGACATCACCTACTTCAAAACCATGCCTGACCTGCACTCGCAGCCTGTTCTCTTCATACCTGACGTTCACTTTGCAAACCTGCAGAGGACTGGACAGGTATGACCTACCTGCTAACATCCACTTGCCATCTGTTTACAGGACTGGTAGGGCCTTAAGATAGAAGCACTTCAGGCAATGTTGACTTTAAAAATAAAACCCTTCCATTCACCAGAAGAAAAGTCAGTCATTCTCTGCAGTAATTGGATTTTTACAAAAAGGAATACTTCAGAAGAGGACACTGACTTACTAAGGGGAAAAAGAGAGTGAGCTGATATTAGTCAAATATTGACAAAGCAATGAAAGAGGGAGAAAGTAAGAAGGCTGATAACCTGTAAGAAAAGTTTTATTTTGTTATTAGCTTTGTCATGGCAGAATTATCCTGATGCAGTAGAGCTCCACCTAATGGTGGGAAGTTGAGCTGCACCTATAACTTCATAAAGTTGCACGAGGTGAAAAATTCTTAGATTAACTAAAATTCTATTAACAACTTTTCCCATAGTAAATGAACAGCTCCCATTGAATAGTAAATCATTTCACATAAAAAGAAAAACGGGGTTGTAGACAAACCCCTTTAAAAAGAATCCCTATCTTCTAGATGTATCTACAAGTGAACTGAAAAATCTAATATTAAATTAACATCAATGTCCAATAATTAACTTATCATGGCAGCTCAAGTTGATGGAATATTATGCATTCACTAAAATTTTAATTATGAAAACTATGTAGCAACATGGAAACTAGTTATAGTAATGTTCAGTGGGGAAAAAAGTATAATAGCAATTTGTGTTCATACTGTGATCTCAAAGATGTAACTGAATTGGAAGGGAATAAGAACAATGAGATATGGCTGATTATTTTCCTTTTGTTCTTCAGTATTATCTCTTTTATGTGATAAATTAAAATTGTGTGGGGGAAAAAAATAATGATTTCCCTGGCATTAGCCAGAATTGTCTTCCACCAAACCAGTCGGGTTTTAATGAATTTTGCATTGATTAGTTTTCTTTTAAACCCAGAGTCCTTTGAGGAAACATTTGTTTTGAGGGATAGGGGTATACCGACACATTCAAGTGTTTCTTACATTCTAAGTGTGCACACACTCATTGGAATTGGCCTCAGCCTAGAAAGAGAAATCAATATTGGCTTCACTCTGTCTCTCTCTGTGGAGGATATTTCGCCCCCAGCATTCTGTGTGATGTTTCATTATATGTATAAGACAAAGCAGTTATACAACCAGGCCTTTTTCATTGCTATTCATGACAAAACATGGTAATAAAGTACCCGTAGCTTTTTCTCAGAACACATTTTCACTGAAAATTAACTTAGCGTTTCTATCTTGTCTTACTTGTTTGATATAACCAGGGACAAACAGGGGAAAGGAAGAGTTTTATGATTCATCAAGATAGGTATGACAGAAACTATTTTTTTTTTTTTAATTTCCAAAAACATGGTGGTGATTTGCGCGGGGATGTCACGGAGCTAGGTTTCCACAGCTTCCAGAAGAGGGGATAATTGAGTTAAATTGTTCGTGCTGTTTAGTTTTACTGTCAGGATTCTGGCTTCAGTTCTGTATCAACACTGACAACCTGACTTGTTCGCTTGGCAAGATTTCTCCAGAACGTATAAAGCTGTAAATGAATCTTAAGAGGAAAAGCCGCCAGCCCGGCCGCTCATGACCGCCAGTCCCCTGGCCTCTCTCGCCCCCTGGATCTCATGAGCCTGGCTCGCAGCCCGAGGCGGATTCAGAAGGGAAGTGCAGGCTTTACAGTTTGCTGGTCTCAGCAGTTGCAAAGTAGTGCAATCAGTGACCCCCTGGGCCACCAGTGAAGTTTGTCCTGCTGTCTGGAGGCCACCTTCACAGAGCCCTCAGGCTGCCTGTCCCCATGGCCTCTGATTCAGAGTTGAGGGGGTCAGCGCAGAAGCCTGCCCTGAGCTGCTGGCAACAAAGGAACACACTCAGCTATGCTCTAGAACAACCTGTGAATATCCTGTGGTTGTTCTCAGTTGCACCATGTTACTGTCAAGAGTTGTGAAAGATCCAAGGTTTTACCTATTTGTAAGCCAACAATTTAGCCTGTTACAGTTTCATGGATGCTAGAAGAAGACATGAGACTCCTGGGTCAGAGCCAGAGGACTTTATTACTGATAACACAGCGAGCAGCAGAAACTTGATGTTCACATCAGCTCCCCTTGCACTTCCAGTCCAAGAGGACTGACGCAAAAGGGCCTGTGCAGACGCTTTGCATGTAATGTGTGTCACAGTGAGGAATCCCAAGCTGATGAAACAACAGTATTTTAAGAGGGCTGCTGGAACACCTCCCCAACCCTGGTTTAAGACATAGGCATTATTTTTCTTATACTGGTTAGGTACTTTGGGAGCCTGAGGTAAGAGGATTGCTTGCAGCCAGGAGTTCGAGACTAGCCTGGGTATCATAGTGAGGCCCTGTCTCTACAAAAAATAATTTAAAAAAATAGCTGGGTGTGATGGTGCATGCCTGTAGTACTAGCTATTCAGAAGGCTGAAGCAGGAGGATCACTTGAGCCCAGGAGTTGGAGGCTGCAGTGAGCTATGATCACACCACTGCACTCCAGCCCAGGTGACAGATCCAGACCCTGTCTCTTTAAAAACAAAACAAACACAAAAAGTTAAAAAAATTATATGCTGGTTAGGTAACACATCTGCATTTGGCCATAGGAGTCAGCTTAGCTAAAGGAAAGGAGCTTGGGCATTGTCTGGCTGGGGCTTTTAAGGCTGCCTTTTCTCAGAAGAGCTACATGCCTGGGAGAACAGGAGAGAAAAGGCTGTTCCATGGTCTTAGAAGTAGGGATGGCACAGAGATTGGGTGACTTTGACCTGCAAAACAAGACCCTGCAGTGGCAGGTCAAAGGATAGGGCGGTTAACCTTAAGGGGGTGGGAGGAGAAGGGAAGAGTGGCAAGTAGTGGTGTGCAGCTCAGAAACCACTGGGGCCTGAGTCTTGCTAGAATCAGCTGCATTGCAGCTTTGTACAGCTGTAGGGCCAGCAGCCCGATAGTTCTCAGGATTAGTGAGACACCCCTGAGCCATGCTTAAGGCACATCGGCCATGGGACAGCCATACTCACCCAGGGACACAGACAGGGAGTAGGTATTTTCACTGCTAGTCCACACGTCCCTCACTCCTCCTATTATGTCATTGGTTTGCCTATGGGTTGGAATAGTCTTCAGACAATTATCAGAAACTAAATGAGGGAATAATCCAATATGTAGGAGCTATGGAGACCTCCAGTCCCACTCTCTTCATGTTGAAGCCCTGGTGTTCAGGCTGCTTGTGTCTGGAATGCCTTTAAAGGACATGTGATGAGGAGAGCTTGGGAAAAACCATGAGATGCAGAGGCATCATCTTATTGGATAATGCATACTTGCCAGGTGTCAGCCCTTCCCAAAGCACCTGGGCCCAAGGAGGACACTGCGAGAACAGTCTCTTGCATTGTGGTTCATAAACAATCTTCCCCAGATCACAAGAGTTCTTGATATGGATTCAGATGCCCAAGTTCTATCCCAGGTCTTTCAAATTAAAATCTCTAAAGTGAGTTCTAGAAATTGCATTTATTTTTATGCACTCTAAAGTTTGAAAAATGTGCCCCCCAAATTAAGTTAGTGCCACGTTCCCGTTAGCTGACAGGGAAGAAATAGTGGATCTACCCTGTCCATGCAAGGAGGAGAAATGACAAAGAATGGAAGGTGATAGGGACAGTGAAGTAGCGGCCATTCAGGAGGGCAAGAAAACACTTAAGTCTGCTTCCATCTTTGGGTCACCAACCAACTTCTCAGAGGCCAAGGAGTCAAGCAAGGGAATAGTTGCATTCTGCCACCTTTAAAGAAATCAGCAAAACACAAGCCAACATCAGGAGCTTTCCAGATGCGTCCAGATGCGTCAGAACAGTCCAGATGGGTGGCCAGTGCCATGGCCCAGGCTCCCTCCCTTATGTGGGTCACTCTATGTCTTCTAAGTGGACAGTCCCAATTACAGATGCTCTGAAGTCCACACTGAAACTTGGAGGGGGAAACCCCAAAAGCAAAAAACAACTTTCCTTCACTGTTTTTGGTTTAAGAAGAAATAAAGTATATAACAACAGCCATAAAAAAAATTAAGAGGAAAACAGTTCCCGTAGAAATATGAGCGGGTAGACTAGAATGACTCATTCCCTGAGAGTTCCAGGTAACCAGTTTTGTTATATAACCAGGTCTGTGCTTGGCAGCATCCCAGGAGCTGCCAAGAGCCTTTGAGAAAGTTTGTGGGTTGGTTTTCTGTCTGGGCTCAGCTGTTTCTCTCCCAGGCTGGGGCAGGGACAGTGACTAAATATACTGGAATCAGAGGCTACTTTTGAAGTTAGTATGTAAATGTCTCATGTTAACCAGGTGTTGTTCTTCACCGAAACACAGACGGTCCTGAAACACACAGAAAAAGCTCACGAGGCCGACAATTAATGCTTAGAAATAATTGGGGCAAGAGAATATACATGCATAGCAGATCCCCTCTGGATTTCTCCCATAACTCCATAAAATAATAAGGATGCTTCATAACTTCTTTAATCTGGTTCTGCCTGACACCGTGCTGACCACCTAAAGGAAGTTTCTGCCCCCAGAGATCTGCCTTCTGGCCAGGAACACCTCCCACCACTCAGTGACCTTTCACAGTTTGAAGACAGTTGGCTCCTAAATTTCTGTGGCTGTGGGATGCCAGGATAACCCAGACCCTTTGGGAAGTAAGCAGGGATGCCTGGGGTTGCTCTTGTCCTGCTGTGGGACCTTCATGCCCCTCCCCTCCCGGCTAGCAGCACAGCGCCCAGAGCCAGCTCGCCTGTGCACCAAATGGGGTCTCGCAGGCCAGAGCCTTTCTAAACAATGGATTTTAGATCCTGCCCAAATGTTTCCTTAATGTCAAAAGCAAGATTTGGCTTAGGGCCAGAGATAATCTCATTAGAGTGACTTTAGCTAGAAATAACCAATTTCTAAGTTTATTTCATTAAAATCTAAGAAGTAACCCCACAGAGGAGAGGAGGTTAAATTTGCATTCCCTCAGAAACGCACACACAAACCCAGCATCATTAAACAGATTTGTCTTTTGTCTTTTTTTACGAGACTGTTGATGCCTTAGGACAGCCTGTGCATCACGTGACATATTTCCATTTCTTGTCTCTGACTTACAGTAAACCTATTGTTCTGCTCCACAGGTGTATTACAACACGGACGATGAACGAGAAGGGTAAGAGACTGCTCAGTTCTTTTCACTTACACCCCCAGAGTCGGTTCATGTCTGTGGCAATAGCTCTCCCAGCACTGGGCAACCCTGGGCGGGGAGTGAAACCCTCCTCTCAGCTCGGGACCCAGTGTCGAGAGGCTTGATTCTGGGAGTGTCAGGGAGGAAGCCTGGGGAAGAGCGTTCTCCTTCTGAGCTTTCCTTCCTATGATCTGCCTTTCAATAACTAGTTCTTTTTGTAAGTGACCCATCTCTTCCCTGGGTAGCCCTTCCCAGCACCCCTTGTTTGGCCCCAACACAAGGGCAAGCGGAGCTTGAGTCCAGAGCTGGAGGAGGCAGCCTGCCCTCCTTGCAGGACCACCTGGGCCACAGGCACGTGCCTCTTGAAGCTCTCTCCCTGGGAATGAGGCTGGAGGGCCAGTGGTGAGGCCAGTTTGAACAGAAGTGGGAAGGCTGAGAACCTTTTCACTGTCCCCTAGGATTGTAGATCCGAGAGGGTCACTGAAGGCTTCCAGTGTCTCCACTCCAAGTTTCTGCATAACAGCTTTGGGAGATGTTCTCCATCTTTGCACAGGATATGTGCCCCCCTCTTGTGGTCGTGCAGACTTCTAGGAGCAGCCACATCTTCAAAGTGCTTTGTATCCATTAACTCATTTTATAGACTCAGGATTTCAAAGCCAGAAAAACTCCTTAAGGTCATTTAGCTGACCTCCTCTCCTGGGGAATGCTAACATCTACACTACATCCTCGACAGGTGGTCAGCCAGCTTGCACTTGAATATTCACAGTAGTGGAGTGCTCACTGTGCATGAGTTAGCTCATCACACTATTTGGCAATTCCAGCTCATAGGAAGTTATTTTATCTGTTGAGTTGACATCTGCCTTCTTTTAACTTCTACCCACTGGCTTTCTGGATAAGTCTCATCCTTCCTCATCTTTCAAACATCCCCTTCCTCCCTGCAACTGTTCTTGGTAAAATATAGTTTTGCCTCTCAGCATCTTAACTTCCCTGCAAGGTATACTACTAAATTTGTTAGTAGTCTCCTTAAAATTGGCTGTCAGAATAAACATATGTTCTGAACCACATGAGTTGCAGATTATATTGGGGTAATTTCATCTTATGACCTAGATGCTATTTTCCTCTTTAAGCCATCTAGAACTACTTTCATTCCAATATCTACTTTATGTTCTTGGTTTGCATTATATATGCTAAACTCTCTAGATCATTTTTTCCCCAAACTACAGTCAAACCGGGGCTCCCCTATCCTTACATAATTAATATTATAATATTTACTTGTAAAACATTTCATAGTCAATGAAATGGAGCAGATATTGCTGAGCTTATTCCTAGAGCAAAGGTTGGCCCAAGGGCCAAATCAGGCCCACCACCTGTTTTTGTATAGTCTGCAACCTAAGAATGATTTTTATGTTTTTCAATGGTTGAAAAAAAATTTTTTAAAAGAATAATATTGAAGGACATGTGAAAATTATGTGACATCCAAGCGTCCATATATAAAGTTTTACTGGCACATAGCCATTTTAATTCCTTTATGTGTCGTCTGTGGCTGCTTTGGTGCTACAACAGCAGAGTTGAGTAGTTACAACAGGGACCATATGGTATGTCCTGCAAACCTAAATATTTACTGTCGAGGCCTTCACAGAAAAAGCTTGCCACCTTCTGTCTTTAAGGGTAGAACATCTCAAAGGAGTCAAGTGATTCCGTAGCTGGTTAGGGTCGTAATTTTGTCTGGAACTCGACTGCTAAATTCAGAGTTCTAAATTTTCTAAATACCTTATTAGATTGTTCTTTGTATTTTGGCACCTAGGTAACACATTTCCAGCAGTTGGAATGAACAGAATGATTAGTGCTCTCTATTCCAATCAGTTATTCACGTACTTTTTAAGGCACAGTGTGGTGTTGCAGAAAGAACGTTGACCCTGAGCTCAAGAAGCCCAAGTTCTACTCCTGGGCTACCTACCGCTTACTCATGGGAAGACTTGGCCTGTCTCCTTGATCTCTGGGCTTTGGTTTCCTTAATTTTTACATTGAGGATTTTGTATAAAGACAATCTCTAGGATTCTATCTAGTACTGACATTCTATTCTCGTGGGAAAACTTAGTGTTATGAGGGAGAGGTGCCTGAGACTCTGAATGCTCCTTGATATGTGGATCTCTGTTGTAAATCTATCTCACCTCAAATTGTCCTTCCCTGCAAGTGGACCGCAGTTAGACGGCTTTGACCTACTCGTAACTCCACTAGCTTGGCTCCTCTGTAAGTATTATCCTGTGTTTTTGCACAAACCTAAAGCCTGAGTCACTTGCTCTTACATGTCTTCTAATTAGAGTTTGAACAATATGGAAAGCATTGGAGCCTCGAGTTAATACATGGCATGTGTGTGGCTATTGTTATATGGAAAAGTAATGATTGACATTGCTGGATACTTTGGGTACTATACTAAGTGCTTTATAAGCATTATCTCATTGAATTCTTCTAAATTTCCCATTATCTCCATTTTATAATGAGGAAACTATAAAAGAAGTTTCCTAGTCTTGGAAACTTCTTGGCCAAACAAGAGACTAGGAAACTTGTTCAGTCACACAGCTGGTAAGTGATAGAGGCAGGATTTGAACCTGGGTCTAGCTGCACTTCCCATCACCTGCTTTTAGCCACCATGCCCTACTGCCTAACTCTCTTAATTCTTGACCTGTGCCTGCAAAGGAGGCACTGAGGGACAGGCCCTCATTGGGATGGCTTTCTGGCCTTGACGAAGGCACACCCTTGGTTCATCCCTTGGCATGTATGACCCAGACTGTGACAAGCCCAGATGGAGTGTCCCTGGCAGAGGGGATCAGATCTGAAGCCGCCATACATGCTCACCTAGCCCGAGGAGTGCCACCTTCACTGGTATTTGCATAGCCTCCCTCAGGACTGCTTTTTGGCCAGGTTCTTCACTCTCGCTGCCACGTTATTTAATACTCACATTAGCTTATACTCGCATTAGTATTAAAGCATGCAAATGAGTATGTGGGAGCATTATTCACACAATGACCAGATGAAGCATATAAAATACAAGAGCCCCTCTCCTGGCACCTCCAAAATCATGCAAGGTTTGTCAACTTCTCTTCATTATCACCTATCTTAAAGGCAGGTGATACAACAGTTAGATACAGAGGCTTTTAGACAACAGTTCTCAACAAAGGGTCTCTTGCTACACATTTGAATCACCTGGGGGGTTAAAAAAAATACTGATGTGCCACCCCCAGGGATTTTGATTTCATTGGTGTGGGTACAACTCAGGCACTGGGACTTTGTGAAAGTCTCCAGGTGATTCTAATGTGCAACAGTGTTGGAGAACCCCCCCACACACACACCAGGGCCAGTCAGCTGGGATTTGAATCTGGGTTTGATCTTATAAGTTCTTAACTTAAAATAACAACCTTTTGGAGTCTCAGTTTCCTTATCTAAAAATAGCAGGATAATAATACCTACCTGCTAACATAATTATAAGCATTAATGTATAAAATGTGTTGACACATGCAAGGTGCTTTTAAAAAAAACAAAACCAATGGTAATGGTAAAAATCCCTTTCAAGCCCCGAAAAAAAGAAAACTAAATGAAAAACAAAAAAAAAGGAAAATAAAAAAAAAAAAAAAAAAAAAAAACAGGTCAAACAGAAAGAATTTTCTATAGAGCATGAGTCCTTAACCTGGGATTTGTAGATGGCTCTTATGGGGGAAGAGGGAAAGGCTTTAAATTCCCTGAAATAATATGCAAATTGATAAGCAAATATCATGCATGGTGAGAAATTGTATTTCCATTATGTCTGGGGATCTGGCCTTCATCTATGTCTGGCCTCTGGTTTCTGTGAAAACCCTCTAGCCTCAATCCTCTGTCTGCAGTGGTCCCCACTGTGGTCCTCTTAATGCAACCTGCAGCAAGGTCACTTCAGCTCTGTGGCTTCTGTGCTGCATTTGGGGCACAAGCATCCTTGGTGAGGTTGGGCTGTTGTGCATTCAGAGGTCAGTGGCTTCCCTCCAAGACCCTGCCATTGCCTTAGGATGCTGCTTGGGACCCTCAGACCTCAATCCTCCCTAAGAATTTCTCTTCTCTCCTTGCTGCTGCTTAAAGGCACAACACATACCATTGTCTCCCTGGGAACCACCTGTGTGATCTCTTCAAAGGCGGAGGCTTTGGGAAAACCAAAGCCGGAAGAAAGCAAACTCTAGGCAGGCCACCCCTATAGGTTGGTCTCATACAGCTCAGAGCTGGCTCCCCAGACAAGTTTCACTCATCAGGCTCTGAGTGTCTCCAGCAGAGAGGGCCCTGCCTCTCCTGCAAGAGGGAGGTCCTGTAGACGCTGCCACGCTAAACCATGAGCTCAGCCACAGTGCTGCTGAGGAAAAGGCAGTTCTGCATGCTCTTCTGTGAAAGCAAATACTTTGGCTAGGATTCAATGTCTTTTGGGGGAGTTAGAGGTTATTAACCAATCAACTGCAAGTACATTTAATCAACATGGGGTTAAATTTAAAAAGTTGTCACACTATGTTCATCAGTAGTCCTTGTGGGGTTGCAATATAAAACTTTTCTAGCATTCTGTACTATTTCTCTTAAAGGAGCAATTTCCCAGGAAATCAAGTGCTTTTTCAAAATGGGGTTCCCCGGGATGCCAAACAAACTATCAGATGTAGGATGTGGTGGGCTGCATTTTACCACATATATGTGAACATAAGGTGATTAAAAATATTGGCAATTTCCCCAATTTCCCAAGGAAAAGAGAAAAACATAAATTAAAGCTTTTGGGCCAACTTGAATAGGTAAACCTTTATGGCTATAGCCAAGAGTTAATAACTTACTGATACTTCCTTTGCTGACTTAATTACACGTACGTTTGAAGAATAATATATTACATAAGTTAGAAATATCTGTCACATTTTATGAAACACATTTATTCAAATTCTTCATAATTCATCTTTGACGTTAAGTTCTTTCTTAGTATTAAAGTTACT